GCGTGCTCCCTGAGCTTCTTCAGCCCGGACTGCAACACACACACACACACACACACACACACACACACACACACACACACACACACACACACACACACACACACACACACACACAGAATTAAAGCCCAGCAGGAAGCAGCTGGTTGTGATTGAGGGTGATACTATCAGGAGACCGCTGCTGGCTTCATGCCCCAAATTAAAATAGAGGATGCTGTAAAGCAACTCGTGGCGCTGTGATGTCCCTGATACTCGCACTAAGGCATTTTACTGAAATAAAACCACAAAAATATAAAAAATAGAATTATATCTGTTGTCTTGAGCTCTTCTATCAAAACCAGGATGAACATCATGAAATTTACAGTTTTGTTCATTCTGGACGAGCTTGAGAGTGCCCCCTATTGGACAAAGCGGGAATCAGCAGTTCTGTGGTGTGTTTTTTGTTTTTTTTACCTGGTAGTAGACGGTGACCTCAGAGTTGGCGTCTCCTTTGTTGAGAGATTTCACTTTGCAGAGATGATGTTTCAGCGGCAGCTCCACCACCCGGAACAGCACGGGGACGTCTGCAGGCAGCGGCTGGAACTGCAGCTTCCTGCACACAGGTTGGTGTGACATCAGAGCAGAAAGCTGAACTCTTCCTGAATCTGTAAAACCTTGCTGACGTCATTTAGAGGACTGAAGATGTCTCTGTGAACTGATGAACAGCAGCAGATACTCACTCAGTGAAGTAGCGCAGAAACTCTTTGGACTCCTGTGGGAGGAAATGACATCATCAGTGAGCGCAGACCTTTAACCTGAACTAAATATTCTTCTACTTGATTCTGATCTGCACATCGGTGGCGTTTCAACACACCTCGATCTTTGTAACCTGTTGCGGTTGAACACACAATCAGGACTTAGAGAAGCAGAGATTCTAGAGTTTAAAAAAATTAAACTTCCTAGAGAAAACAGCATTTTCTGTACTTCCTGTTTCTTCTTCTTCTATAGCAGCGCCGCTGCGGAGGTTTTATCTGTTATCATGCATATTGTTTAGGAGGAACTCAGTCCCAGGATACATGCTGACAGACTTTAGCTTTAACCTCAGCTCTGTGTGCGTGTGTGTCTATGTGAACCATGTTTATACATACTTGTGAGGACCAAAAATTGGAATGCTACTATACTTGTGGGGACCAACAGCCCTTTTGAGGACAAAATGCCCTTTCCCCATGAGTTTGAAGGCATTTTTGAGACTCTAAATGTGGTTTTAGTGTCAGAGTTACAGTTAGGTTATGGTTAAATTTAGGTTTAAGCTGAGGATTAGTCATTCATTTTTCATGGTTAGGGTAACCGGCTAGGGAAAGTATTATGTCAATTAGGCTACGTTCACACTGCAGGCGAAAGCACATCAAATCC